CTTTGGTATATGGGACGATGCTCCAACCAACTGAGCCACACTGGCCAGGGCGTGTAGTTGTACCATTTTAATCTGTTTTCAATGGGATAATTTATTATAGGTAATTATAATGGCATTCAGCATAATATCACAAGTATTACTTCTAAAATAGAGCCTGTTAATTCACAGAAAAGCATACATATTGTGGTTTAAATAACTTATCTACCTCATTTAGTTTTTAATCCTGATACAAACCTTTCTAATTTTTTATGTACTTTGTCTTATCTGATCCTAACAATACTTAGGGAGAGGGAGATCATCATTATTTCACTGTAAAGGAGAAAATGGAGACTTCTTAGACTAGGTGACCCACCCAAAGTCACAGAGAGAATAAGTATTATTCTAGAGGTGCTACCCATTTTCTACCAATCACGTCTTCTTGACACTCACATTCTTAAAGAGCGCCCCTTCCACAGGCCCAGGAGACACCAGTCTGGGTTACCACCATGACCCATGGCCCCACGCTCCTAACCCCTCAGCTACAACTGATAACAGGCACGTGCCTGACCTAAGTGGAGCCAATCAGAACTTCTCTCAGAAACTGCGAATCAGTACACTGAAACACCAAGTTAGTTTTCATTGAACACTTAAATTAAGGATGCTAGAGCCAGAGCTTGGGTAAGCATGTGCCCAATAAAGGAGGAAGGGAAAGGAAGGGAACAGAGGGGAGAAAAAGAGACGATTGGCTTCCTGTGAGACAGAGAGTGACCTGTGACAGGACTGTTTCCATTCCAGCCGCAATTCTTGTTCTTGGATTCTGGAAGATCCCTCACATATCTCCAAAAACCCCCCATTTTTTGCTGAAGCCTGTCTGAATGAGCTTCTGTTTCCCCAAACTGAATGATTTTAAGTCTGGCAGCACCTAAATAAATTTAAATCTATATTTCCTGAATCCAAACCTGGTGCTTATTTTACTGTGTCACCAGTGAAACCCAGTAATAGTTACTAGAGAAATAAAAGAATTAGCCAATTTTAGGATAAGTTCATATCCTGTACAGTCATAAAAATTCCTCAAAAGAGTCCTTCCCAGGAGGAACAAGATCAATCACGACCACTCAATTTTAGAGTAAAACCAGATACTCGTTAGCACACATGTACACATTATTTATAAAAAGATAAAGTGACCTGCTAATTTACCCTCAAGTAACTTATTCTATCTTTATATGTAAATAGGGTATTTCTAGGATTTACTCATATCCTGTTCAGAATATGTTTACAGATTCAGGATATCTATACTTGGATTATAGTGCTCACAATCTCCTAGATCCTATAATGTTCTGCTTTTGTCATTAAAAATAAAAGTCTCACTTGGCTTGAGTAGCTCAGTGGGTTGAGCGTGGTCCTGTGCACCAAAAGGTTGCGAGTCAGGGCACATACCTGGGTTGCTGGTTTGGTCCCTGGTAGGGGAGTGTACAGAAGGCAGCAAATCAATGTCTCTCTCCTCCTACCCTCCTCAGCATGTCCTCGGGTGAGGATTTAAAAATTACGAGTCCCAACAGCTAGATGCTAAGTGCATAGCTACTTTGGAAAGAAACTGGTAATAACAGTAACACCATGATAATACTCCTCTTCTATATGTAAATAATCAGTCCAGTTATTTATTCTCCAGCTTTTCTCTTTAGAACAAAAAGTCATTCTATAACTGGCAGTTTGGTGATACTTAGCAACTATGAAGGTCTTGGGAAGTGGTCTGAGATACTAAAACAAAGGGCATAGCCTTCAGACATGTCTGTCCTAGATTCATTAGAGCTGCTAAGCAATTCAGTGCCAAGACTTGACAACTGTGAGAACTCAAAAGTCCTGAAACTGCCCATGTATTTGCCTTAAGAGATAAACTTGAGAAGCTGTGAGGTAATGACAGAGGCATGTGCCCAACAAGAATATGGACTCAGACAGGTCTACTACCCAATCTTTAGAAAATAAGTGTTTCCTTTAATTGTCCAGATTTAAAGAAATCAGAGTTTAGAATATTACTTGAGTGGTTTTCTTTAAGGAAAACATCTATAACATCAACTATTTAGGTAGCAATTAGGGATTACAATGAAGTACTAGCCAGAATTTGGAAATAGGGAAATAAGCTTGTCTACTGAGAGTTAAATTCTAAAGTAAACATATCAGGAATAAAAACAACAATAAATAAAAAGTCATATTAAAAAGGCAGAACGGAGCAGAGAAAAGAGAGAGACAACCACGGGCAGTGTATCTGCAGGGCTTTTCTGAGATGATATCAGTCCCACGAGCACTAGGATCGCCAGTTGTGAGCTAGAGGGTCAGGCTTCTGAGCACAAGAAGCCTTCTGGTTTTAACTGAACTTCCAGGCAGAGTCTACCCATATCAGTGAAAGAATATAAAGTTATCTGGTTAAGCAAATATAAATTGGTTTCACCCCACCCTTACTTGGTCCTAGACACCCAGACAAGAGTAGACAGATTCAGCCCATTATGTTCCCATCTCTCTTAGGTGTCCAAAGTTAGTCTCTTGGGTTAGTAAGAGTCAGTACCATAGGGTCTAATTTCATTTTGGTTTACTAATGATTCAGTTTCTGAGCTTATAAAGCTGAAGACTCTAGCTTCATAGGTCTACAAAGACCTGCAGCTATGTACAGCATAAGAAACTGGGAAGTCATACCCATTAAGACGGCTATTGTCAAGCAAGCAAGCAAGCAAGCAAACAAAACAGAAAATAACAAGTGTTTGTGAGGATGTGGAGAAACGTAACACTTGTGCATTGCTTGTGGGAATGTAAAATGGGGCAGTCACTGTGGAAAACAGTATGATGGTTCCTCGAAAAATTAAACATTGAATTACTGTATGATCAAGAAATTCCACTTCTGGGTATACACAGAAAAGAACTGAACTCAGGGACTCGAATACACATGTTCATAGCAGCATTATTCACAACAGCCAAAAGGTGCAAACATCACTGATTTATCCATGATAAATGGATAACAAAATGAGGTACACACATACAATGAATGGAACCCCAACCTGGGTATGTGTCCTGACCGAGAATTGAACCCGCTACCCTTTGGTGTATGGGATGGTGCTCCAAGCAACTGAGCCACCCATCCAAGGATGTAACAAAACTGTTTTTTATGTTTTCGTTTAAAAACATAAACATTATTTCCCCCTCATAGCTACATCCATTCCTCTTACGCTAACCATCAAAAGGAATCATATGTGTTTCTCTCACATCAATGTTTGGTGCTCTCGCTCTGCCCCTCTGCCCCCCTTCCTGCCACTCTGAAAAGCAATGGAAAAAGTATCCTCAGGTGAGGATTAACCAAAACAAACAAAGGAATCACATGAGGATAACTACATTTCAACTACCAAGGAACAATGACATTTAAGATATAAACATATAAACTGATTCAGGTAACAAAAACCAACATTTACTGAACTCTTACTATGAGCCAAGTAGTTCTTAAAACCTTTTACAGTATTAGACTAATTCTAATTCATTTAATTTCATTACAATCCTATAAAATAAATAACTGTTTTTAATCTCTACTTGAGAAATGGGAAATTGAGGCACAAAGAAATTACAAAAATTGCCTGAGGTCACACAGCCAGTAAGTGGTGAAGCCAGGATGTGTTACCACTACACTATGCAGCCACTCATAAAAGTTATGTTTTTCAGTTGCAAGTATCTGACAAATCAAATAAACAACCTGTTAATAGTCATAAAGCCATAAACCATAAGTTATAAGTGTTATAAATGTTATAACATTCACTTTAAACTCATATTTTAAGAGTTGACTAAGTATTGTACCTAAAATGCTTACAAGAAAAAAAGCCCCTGCCTTCCTCATTTGACACATCTTTTTAGATATCCTGATGCCTTCAAATGATTTCTAAGACCAGTCATTGCAGGTGGTAATCCTCAGATCTGCATTTGCTTCAAATTAAATCTACTTGACCGCAGTTTTTCTACCAAGTAACCTGTCATTATTTGCAGATTTTTTTTTTTTGAACTGTATCTGTGGGTAGCAGGTATTTAAGGAGGTTTTAAAACACTGAACAAAAGAAATTGTAAAATAATTTAGGGATGCTTTAAAACTCTTTTCAGCTGCATTTTCCCTTTGGATTTAATGTCAGGAAAAAATATAATAGTATGAAAGTAAAATAAACAAGGTTATAAAAAAATTTTTTTTTGAGAATACATAAGCAAAAAATACACATAGCCAAAATCATTTGAGCAATTTAAGTGAAAGCCATAATATTTCAAAGTTATTACCACATGCTAGCTAGCACATACAACACGTACCTCATGTCTTGGATAAGGGAGACCCTGAGTGTTGGCAACATAACTCCGGAGTCAGATTTTCTTCTTTCTGGTCCCAGGGCAACTATGTAGAAGAATATCGGCAAAGTATTAGAAAAATAACAGTAAAAAAAAATCGATCTGGTTCACATTCTATAAATAAATACTTTAAAATTAGTTTGAAAGAACAAAATTTGAAGACAAAAGAAATGCCCAAATTCTTTCCCCCCAATGTTGCTCCTTTATTAATACAGTAAACCGGCTATTTTCTTTCTGGTTTATCTGGGGCTGCATTTGTAAATTTAACATGAATCATAAAAGCCCACTTGGCAAATAATGCAACGTGTGCAAATTCTGGCCATAAGGGCAAGTCATCTTCTAAAGTTATTCATTCTAACTGAACTAGATAATTACATGAAAACAATGTCTATAAATTAAACTACTGAGCATGTGAATCATCTCTGGGCTCATGAATTGCAATCACACAATTTCCCTACATAGCAGGACTTCAAATTGTGTTGTTTCTTGATAACACTGATGAGATGCCAGAGGAACCTCACTCTTGTCTATATCAATTAGCTTGTGGTAAAACGGATTTCGTTATAAGTCGTTTTGCTTCAAGATGCAGAACCAAACAATGACATTAAGCGAGGACCTACTGTACTGTGAAAGAGTGTTTAATAGTAAAATACTGTCCAGCCAGCGCGGCTCAGTGGTTGAGCGTCAACCTATGAACCAGTAGGTCACGGTTCGAATCCGGATCAGGGCACATACCCAGGTTTTGGGCTCCATCCCCAGTAGGGGGCATGCAGGGGGCAGCTGACCAATGACTCTCTTTCATCATTGATGTCTCTCTCTCTCCCTCTCCCGTCCTCTCTCTGAAATCAATAAAAATGTATTTAAAAATAAAAAAATAAAAGTAAAATCTTAAGAGTTTGGGCTCCCTAGGTTGGTAAGTTTCCACTTCCAAATTCAGGATCCAAACTACAGTATGTATATCATGCAAAATCTAAATGAACATTTAGAAGCAAACTGTCCATGAGTTTCTTATGAAACCTGAATAGATAACATTTATGAAAGAAGGAAACATTATTCTATTATATAGCAATGGCTAAAACAATCGACTGCTAATATATTGGAGCTGGAGTGCTCAATCTCACTTTCAGTGAGATGCTGTGGAGTTTTCTACTTTTCCTTTATTTCTATGTTCCCCTCTGTAAGTGAAAACAAAATTGCAACACCACACTTAGCAAATACAGTGAACAAACATGGGTTTGAACTGCATGGGTCCACTTAGTGCAAGAAGCCAATCTGAAAAGGCTACATACTAAATGATATTCTGAAAAAGGCAAAACTATGGAGACAGTAAAAAGGTCAGTGGTTGCCAGGGGTTGAGGGAGAGGGAAAGAGGAATAGGCAGAGCAGAGAGGATATTTAGGGCAGTGAAGCTACTCTGAATGATACTATAATGGTGGCTACATGTCACTATACATTTGTCTAAACTCAGAGTTCAACACGGACAGTGAAACCTAATGTAAACTACGGGCTTTGGGTGATGATGTACCAATCTAGCTTCATCAATTGTAGAAATGGACCACTTTGGTGGGAGATGCTGATAACGGGGGAGACTATTTATTAGGGGGCAGAGGGTACATGGAAAATCTCTACCATCTGCTCATTATTGCTGTGAACTAAAAGCTGCTCTAAAATATAAAGTCTATTAAAAAGATTAAGATAGTCTACCCCGCTATGGCCTTCTTACTAAGACAGACCTTTTCCATTCTTCTGCAATCCTTAATATGTCTCTGACTCCTGTTTAAAGCTGCTTCTGAAGGAACAGTAATGATCTACCATCTAGACTCATCCTGGCTTGTATGCGCCCTGGCCAGGGAGCTCGGTTCATTAGAGCATCATCCCAATACACCAAGATTGTGGGTTTGACCCCCAGTCGGGATANCTCCCCTCCCTCCCAGAACTTTCTTTTTAATTGATTTCAGAGAATGGAAGGGAGAGGGAGAGAGAAACATCAATGATGAGAGAGTCGCCAATTGGCCATCTCCTGCACATCCCCTAACTGGGGGATCGAGCTGAGACCTCCTGGTTCATTGGTCGATGCTCAACCACTGAGCCATACCAGCCAGGCTGTAATACTTTTCTTTTAGGAAAAAATCAATATACACTTCACTCTAATACTGGTGAGAGTAAGGTATACAGTAAATCCTCACTTAATATTGATTAAGTTCTTAGAAACTGCAACTTTAAGCAAAATGATGTATGACAAAACCCATTTTCCCATAGGCTATAAAGAGTTACGTATCTATANGAATCAACCAATGAATGCATAAATAAGTGGGACAACAAGTCAATGTTTCTTTCTCTCTCTCCCTTTCCTCTCTCTCCAAAATCAATCAACAAATAAGGTTTTTTAAACACCAAACCTGTAGAGAATTAAAAAAAAAAAGCAGTGTTCAAACACACTATGACTCTCTAAGGACTTGGAGGAACTTCCCTTAATGTGAAAAAGCAGTCTGTTTACTGCCATTAATTAGGAAGCTTAACAGCTGGCAAACTAAAAGTACTTTTTGAAAAACAAAACCAAACAAAACAAACTACTCAGATTTAAAAGCAGAAAAGTCAATGAGCTGTTCATTTCTGTATAATTAGGACACATTGTTTCCCAATAATGAAATATTTTATTTTTAAACTGACATTTTTATATATATTTCACACTCATATTTTTAAATCCTAACTTCATGGGCTGATTCATCAAAAGTGTTAGAACAATATTTATAAAATCCATCCCTCCAAACAGACAATAATTTGATTTCAAAAGCTGTATGGCTTTTATTTATCTCCTAAGGGTCAGTAAAATATTTAACTTATGTTCATTTGTGTTCCATTAGCCCTTCAACCCCTCACAATGCAGTACAGTGACTGCTCGGGGCTTTGACACATTTGCTATTTCTTAGCCTTGACTTCAAAGTTTTGCTGGTCCCACTACTGACTCATTGAAGGCCCTAAAAACAGCTGGGTCTCTGGTCTCCAGTTCAACCACCCAACTCTTGACCAGCCAAAGCCACAAAGCTGCTGGTGTTGCCCAGCAGCTGCTTCTCTAACAGGTGGACAGTCTCATATCCCTTGCTCAGCACAAGAGGCAAAGACTTCTACCTCCCTGCCTTAACAGCTTGGTTTTCCAACAGTTCATCCTAAAAATCACCTTTTCCTAGGAATTTATTTTTCTAATTAGGGTGAGCTACTTTGATTACGGTCTTATGGGCTGAAAAGCTACAGTTTCTATTAACCCAGGTAAGCGTTACAGTTTCACAGCACATGTCAGTGCATTTTTACTTTTTCAACAGAAAAAGGGGCAAAGGAGATGGACACTAGAGAATGCTTTTAAACTTGATCCCAGTCTTTACGAATATAGTTACATTTCGGGACATTAGAACCATAACATCCTGCTTAGAGGGGCTCCAGGGCAATGTAGTATCAAATTCATATTCCTAGCTGTTTCACTGGATACATTTAAAAACTAGGTTTCCAACAATAAGCACATTTAGGGTAATATTGTGCTCTAGCAGCAGTGATGGGAATGGAAATAAGAGTGCTTCAATCATATTTGCAGTGCTTTATTTCTTAATCTGGTTGTTGGCTTATGCATTTAAATTTTTTTTTTTTTTTACATTTCTGAATGCCTAAAAAAATCCATAATTTTAGAAAAGTTTTCCAAATTCAGCATAAAACATTTTATCTCTACTAGGCTTCCCACTGTTACTTCTACTTTTTGTAAAACAGATGGCTATTTTACATAAAGAAAAGCAAGCTCCTTGTGAAAAATACCCAGTAGGTAGAACATCTAGGAACACTACATAACTCTACTTACCTTAAAAAGTATGACACTTTACCTACAGAAGTATGACACCCCTAACCTGCGATGTCCTGTTATAAACTGAAGAAATCTCACTCCTGAAGATTTGAGACATATATTTATGTTTTTTCCCCCCTGAAAGATTAATGATGGTTTTAAAACTTTCTTTCTCCCTTTCCTTTCCTTTCCTTTCCTTTTTCCTCTCCTCTCCTCTCCTCTCCTCTCCTCTCCTCTCC